ATAGAACTACCAGAATATAAACATACACACACACACACACACACACACACACACACACACACACATGTATATGCAAATAAACATATATACACATATACATATATATTAAAAGAAGCTATGTTAGACTGGCTTACAGGCTGTGGTCTGGGTAGTCCAACAATGGCTGTTTCACACTGAAAGAGCTGGGAATCCAGTAGCTGCTCAGTTCACAAGGTTAGATGTCTCAGCAGTCCCAAACTGCCACTGAGGATCTGGAGGAGCCCTGGCAGCTGCGCATCCTCAGTCTACACTGGCATCCTGAAGAAGCTGATTCTAATACGGGTGGCAGAATGCCACAGCAACAGAGCTGATGAAGTTGCCAACATGACTGACAACAAGCAGGTGAAGAGCAGTTCCCTTCTTCCAGGTTCTTTGATATAGGCTGCTACCCAAAGGCGTTGCCTAGATTAGGATGACTCTCCCTGTTCTCCCTGCTTCAAACAATCTGATTGAGAGAGTCCCTCAGACTGATCTTCAAAATATACAAAGAACTCAAGAAACTAGACATCAAAAGAACAAATAATCTAATTTTAAAAATGGGGTACAGACCCAAACAGAGAACTCTCAAAGGAGAAATCTGATGTGGGATTCTCCTTTGTATGCTATGTTACAGACCACTGTTGAATACAAGGGCAATTAAGAGTCTTTTCTTAGCTGGGTGGTGGTGGCGCACATCTTTAATACTAGCACTCAGGAGGCAGAGGCAGGCAGGTCTCTTTGAGTTTCAGGAAAGTCAGGGCTACACAGAGAAACTCTGTCTCAAAAAACAAAAGAAAGAAAAAGAAAAAAGAGAGGCTGGAGAGATGGATTAGCCGTTAAGAAAGTACTGACCCTGGTTCAATTCCCAGCACTCATGTGGCAGCTCACAATTAGTCTATAACTCCAAAACCCGACACCCTCACATAGACATACATGCAGGCAAAACACCAATGCACATAAAATAAAAGTAAACAAATTTTAAAAAGAAATAAAGAAAGAAAAATATTAAAAAATATATAAAAATTAAATATATATATAATATAAAAAATAAAGAAATAAATAAAGAAAAAAGAGTTGTTTCTTAATTAAAGCCAGCAACTGAGAGAAGGTTCCTGCCACAAGGAACTCTCAACCCAGAAGTTGGGCAGTGTAGGGTTTATAAAGCTAAAACCACAATTGCATCATGCCAGGTACAGGCTGAGGGGTTTCTTTTTTTCTTTATTCTTTTTATTTATTTTTATTTTTTTAATTGGATTAATTCATTTTTGAGACAGAGTCTTTTCATGTAGCCCTGGAACTCACTATGTAGGCCAGGCTGGCCTTGAACTCAGAGATCTGCTTACCTCTGCCTCTCAGGTTTCCAAGCAAGGAAGGAGGAACCCTTTGATTTGTTAAACATCTTACAAACATTGTTTCTCAGAAGGGAGAAACTGGTTCCTGCAATAGGATGTGGTAGCAGAGAGGAGGTGTGGAGTCAGGGTGGCCTCACAGGACTTTTTGGGGACCATTCAGACCAACTAACCCCCCCCACCCCCTCCCTCTCCGCCATCTCTGTGTTGGTAACTCTTGGGTCCAGGGGGGTCGCGCAAAGATGAGAACACCACCAAGTCTAATAAACCAGAAGCAAACTTTATTCCAGAAACCAGATCCTAGGAAAACCAGAAGCAAAATTAAAAAACAAAGCAAACAAACAAACAAAAAACAAAAACAAAAAAAACACAGCGGGGCACAGAAGTTTAACAGCTAGCTGAGACCACAGGCAGAGTTCGGGCTTCTGACACTGTGGCCCCGACTAGTTTCTGAACCCACCTTTTATAGTAAGGGCACCAAGCATTAAGTCTGGGCAAAGGAATTCTTACAACCTTGCCCTGACCCTTGGGATGGTCAGTGGAGACCCTAAAGAGGGGAGTAAGTGCTAATGTCAATGCGTAACTAGGCAGCCATCATGAAATATGTTTCTGTGGAGGTTACAACGAAAGTCACTAATTGTGAGAAAACATGTCTTTAGCAATTAGTCAGAAAGGGATTGCTAGTAATACTAGAAGGTTAATAAATTAGGATTAACTGGTTCTTAGGCTGAGAACTTAGGAGATAGCAGAAAGCTTTTCACACTATCTCAAGGTAAAACTCAGATACTGGCTGCCATACTTTACAACCTCCATTACCAGAGCTCATCAATTAAACCATTGTATTTGTCCACTGCCTCCTGGTACCTCCGGGTGTACACTGGAGTCTGATGCCTCTCCTCTGGTGGTGCCAGTTTTCCACAATGGAGACAGTGTCTAATTCAAAGGTCACATATCTCTGTCTCCTAAAGGTCTCCTAAAGTTCACATCTGTCGTTTATCATGGATGGCCAGGGCAATTTGCAGGGAGAAGCTCTGGCCTTGTAAATAAAACAGCCAGTTGTGAAATGGTCTAAGCTGACGGAGGCTTCCCAGGCATCCGAGAAAATAACTCCTGTGAATGATTGATCTGTCATCTGCTGAGAAAGCTGCTGACAGTCTGTTCTCATTCTCCTAGACTTACAACTTTATAATTTTTTATTTCTACATTTTTATTTTTGGAATCTAGATTTTTATTTTCTTATTCTTGGGACTCTTCAGTAACAAAGGCATACACCGCCATGCCGGCTGAATGTGTTTCAGTAAAGCCCACACCCCTGATGTAACTTTTCTTTCTTTCTGAGAAAATGTCTCTTAACCCCACTACCTAATCCTATATTAGATACAAGAAGTCCAACTTAGCGTCAAAGACTTTAAAAGTAAAGTGAAGCCAGGCGGTGGTGGCAGCGCACGCCTTTAATCCCAGCACTCGGGAGGCAGAGGCAGGCAGATCTCTGTGAGTTCGAGGCAAGCCTGGTCTACAAGAGGTAGTTCCAGGACAGGCTCTAAAACTGTCTAAAACTGTTTCCGAGAAACCCTGTCTCGGAAAACCCACAACAAAACTACAAAGTAGAGTGAAGCAGGCCAAGTGTGATGGCGCACACTTGTAATCACAACACTAGGGAGGTGCAGGCGGTAGAATAAGGAATTCAACGCTATTTCCAGCTGCACTCAAAGTTCTAGGCCAACCTGGGCTACAAGAAGGGATCCTGTATTATGCAAAAGTAACAAATAAAATTGAACTTTATAGAATATAAATCATATCCTAACCGAAATGTTTCTTTATAAGTGTATAATAGAACAAATCTAATTATAATAGGGTAAATTGTTAATTTCCTTCCCCTTAACTATCGCTCACGAAGCAAACCCTAACGGAAATGCACAGGCGGCAGAAATGACAAGTTATTGCACAATCTTCTCTCCGGTACAACTTGCAGGGCTGGCGTCTTAGCCTTCTACTGTGATGAACACCATGGCCAAACAAACCTGGGGAGGAAGAGCCTTCTTTGGCTTACACATCACAGCCCATCATCCTGCAAACTACACAGGAGCGCAAGCAGAAACCTGGAGGCAAGAACTGAAGCAAAGGCCATGGAGAACCCGCTCCCGGACTTGCTCCCTATGGCTCGCTCAACCTGATTTCTTATTCCATCCAAGACCACCTGCCCAGTGACGACACCACCCACAGTAAGTCAGACCCTCCCATATCAATTACTAATTAAGAAAACGAACTGGCGGTAGTGGTGGTGCACACCTTTAACCCCAGCACTTAGGAGGCAGAAGCAGGGAGATACTCTGAGTTTGAGGCCAGCCTGGTCTACAACATGAGTTTCAACGATAGCCAGGGCTACACAGAGAACCCCTGTCTTGAAAAAAAGAGAATGAAAATGCATCATAAAAATAAAAAGAAAATGCACCATAAACCATAGCCTTGCCTACAGGCAAATATTTTCAAGGTAGTTTCTTGAGTTCATCTTCCCAAATGACTCCAGCTTGTGTCAAGTTGACCTAAAGGCCGCCAGGACACTTAGGTAAGCAAGGCTTGCTTGCAAGATACCTGGAGGTCAGCTGAAGAAATGACTAGCCAGCGTCAGGGCTCCCTAGTTTAGCATTTTGTTATTTATAAATTTATTATGTATCCAGTGTTGTCTGCATGTATGTCTTCAGGCCAGAAGAGGGCACCAGATCCCATTATAGATGGCTGTGAGCCACCTTGTGGTTGCTGGGAACTGAACTCAGGACCTCCGGAAGAAAAGCCAGTACTCTTAACCTGATTTCTTCAGCCCACCCATCAGTTCTTACCTATGTGGGTTTGGGGGGTTGAATTTAGGGCTTCAGGTGGTAATCACCTTCACCAGCTGAGCCATTCTCTGGACCTAGATTAGAGCACTATCTTCTTCCTTAGTGATGCTTATGGTCAATTGCCAAGGTTTTACTCAATGTAGTGTCCGTGAACATGGTCACCTACATACAGGGAAAACACCCATCCACATTAAAAAACAAAAACCTTGATCAATCTACTTTTAACTTTTGAGCCATAACCCCTCACTACAGTGGCTTGAATAACCTCCATAGACTCATATTTGAATGCTTAGAAGTGGCATTAGGTGTGGACTTGTAGAAGGGAGTTTGTCACAAAGCGGCTTTGGGGTTTCAAATGTCCAAAGCAGGCCCAGTCTCTCTTCCTACTGCTTTTGGATCCTGCATGCTGCTATGCCAACAGTGGACTAAACCTCTGAATTGTATGTAAGGCAGCCCCTGTTCAATGCTTTCCTCTATAATAGTTGATGTGGTCATGTGCCTCTTCACAGCAGGAGAAACCCTAAGACACTCACTGAATCCGGGAGTTTGGGATTCATAATTCTGGCTAACCAGTAAGTCCTAGGTCTCCACCTCCCCAGTGCCTGTGAACCCTGGGGATCCAATGCTTTACTTGTCGTTTTTCTAGAATGGTCTCACTATGTATGTAGCTTCAGCTGTCCTGAACTATGTAAATCAGCCTGGCTGAAATGCAGAGACCCACCTGATCTGCTGGGATCAAAGACATACCCAACTTTGACTGGCTGCTCAACCGTGTCTTAAATAAAATGAGGAGTAATCACTGTTCAAGGTTTATTTGGTGCTTTCATTGGCATGACACTTGGGTAGTTAGTTGCATCATCCATATGCAGATCTTACATTTTACATAATATTTCAATGTACACTAGACACATAATACACAAAATAATATCCTTTAGAACAGTTATGCACAAGATATGCACAATGGATTTACACACTGGAGCCAGGTTATGACTAACTGGGAAATCATTGGCCTAGCCATGTCTGGTGAGGGTGCATAGCCCAGACACAGCAGGTTCACAGGGTAACTGAAGCCTGCACACAATTGGCAGTGTCTTGGAGACAGTGGGACTGTCACACCAACCAGGTCACCACTACACAAGTACCACATAGCATCAGGGTAGAGCTGTGGGAACACAACTGCCCTACCCACAGCTCAGATGAGGAGACAGTGTGCGGTCTCCATAGAAACCCTGCTGCAGCCCGGACAGTGAAGCGCTAGGACATCTGAGGACTTTTAGAACTGCAGTTCCTTCTGGATCCCCCAGAGCGTATCTGCACTCTTCTTCAAGCGGGCTTCCTCTTCAGAAGTCAGAGTCACCTTCACAACATCGGAGATTCCATTTTGTCCCAGGACACAGGGGACACTGAGGAAGACATCATCCTTGATTCCATAGAGACCCTGGACACAAGCGACAAGAGATTACATTTGTCTTACATCCTCAGGTTTCCTGGGGTTTAGACCTTCCACAATTATAAAGCTTTTTTCAAACGAGTGCTGATCTATTCTATTCCAGAGATGCCCAGCTATGATGTGATAATGAACAGTGCAATAGAAAGTCATTAAGACATCAACAGCTAGGCTTGGCACATGCCTGTCATCCCAGTACGTGAGAGCTAGAGGTAGGAGTTCAAGGTTATCCTCAGCTACATAACAAGTTCAAGGCCAGGCCAGTAGACATCACCTAAGACCCTTGCCTCAAAAAACCAAAAACATAAAACAAACCGAAGTCTAACTAATGTACACAATAAATTACACTTGCCAATTTCTGTAAGACTGGTAACTGAGCATGATCTCCCACCTGACCCAGTGTAACTTAGATACCTTCAGCGCTGACGGGACATTAATACCACAGGTCAGCTACTTCTTTCCAAAAGAAAAGCATTCAGGAATGGATGAATTTACTTCAGTTCAGTCAGTGACTGGGGGCTTCCACTAGTCTGCTCAAGACTTTGCAAGGCCAAGAAACAAGTCTGTAAAATACATATGCCTCTGCAGATCCATTACCTTAATCATGGTGGAAATGGGGTGCACCCGCCTCAGATTCTTCATTATGCTCTCTGCCAAGTCAGCCACAGAGAGGCCAATGGCCCAGGACGTATAACCTTTCAGCTTGATCACCTCATAGGCGCTGTGGAATAGAAAGGATGGGAAAAGGTAAAGAAGAGTAGGGAAGGACAAGAAAAATAAAGATTTTATTAGACATGTTATATAGTTAAGCATGACTTTTGCCAGTTGACACCCCCACAATTGACTAAGTCTTATATATTGATAGAAGGAATATTACATTGTCAAAACAACAAAACTAGCGATTCTCAGAAATGAAATATGGAGGAGCAGGTGAGACGGTTCGGAGGCTAAGACTAGGGCTGATGGCAGAAAAACAAGTGAAATAGAATGTGTTCCTAGGATACATGAGACTCTGGGCCCCAGCACCTCAAAGAAAATGTGTGGTGTCTGGAATGAGATGTCTTCCAGAAGAATGGGGCATTCAAACATTTGGTCTCCAGCTGATAGCTATGTGGGGAAGGATTAGGAGGTGTGGTCTTGCTGGAGGAAGCGTGTCACTGGGGGTGGGCTCTGAGGTTTTAAAAGACAAGCCCCATTGAGTTCTCAGCTACTGATGAGCCAGCCTGTGGCCTTCTATCTATACCTCTGCTCTGCCACTATGGACTCCAACCCTTGGGAACAATAAGCTCAAACTTTCTTTTGGAAATTGGTTTGGTCCTGGTACTTATCAAAGCAAGAGAGTCACTAACACAAAATCCATGAAGCAAGTACAGTTGAAGCAAGGTCTCGAGCGAGACAGACTGAGAAGCAAAGCTCACTTGTAGCGTTTCTATTATTGACTTAAGAATCAAAGTCAGGGCTGAGCAGTGGCGTAGACCTTGAATCCCAGCACTTGGGAGGCAGAGGCAGGTGGATCTCGATGAGTTCAAAGCCAGGGCCACACAGAGAAAAACAACCCTCCAAAAAACAAATGAAAGAATCTAGAGCATACTAATACCCATACTATCCAAACAAAGAAGTTGACTGTGCTTCTATTTGTATAAAATAACTTTTGTTACAAACATCCTGTCTCTGGGGACTGCAGAGGTAGCTTGGCGGCTAACGAGACTGGCAGCTCTTCAGGACCTAGGTTTGTCTGTAACTCCAGTTCCAGGGAATCCCGTGCCCTCTTCTGGGCTACATGGATACTGCATGCATGCTGTACAGACACGGGCAGGCAGAACACCCATACACATACGAACATCTTATAAAGAGTTTAAAGATCTTTCTGAGTGAATTAATGTATTGTCAAGGGTAGAATTTGTTTGACCTTGCTTTAAAAGGTCTTTTTGTGTGTGGCAAATCCGTTTCCAGATGGAAAAGTGCTGAACTAGGTTCCATGGAGATGGAACACCTTACGTTCCCATTGCGGGAATGGGAGGACAGCGAATGTCCAGAAACCAGTGAGCACCCCTACCTGTATTTGGTGATGCTTAAGAAGCACTCAAATGAAGAGCTTTTAAAAATCGTAACCTTCCAGACAGACAAACTTTCGGTCTCTTACCTGTCAACCACCTGCTTGTGAACCTCCTTCCACTGTTCCTTGTCTGCATCGGAGCCCAGGTCTGGGTTCAGATTCTTCAGGGAGACACCAGCGACATTCACACCACTCCACACAGGCACTGCAAGAAACAAGCAGCTTACACCACTGTTTCCACACAGCAGCACAGAACAGTAACTATGCCCCACCCCACTCCGAGCCACCTTTCTACCCTCATCTTTTCAAAGATGGTCAAGATTACCAAAGCCTTGACTTTTAGAGCGTATAAAAGCAGAACTGGGAGGCTGGAGAGACGGCTCAGGTTAAGAGCATTGCCTGCTCTTCCAAAGGTCCTGAGTTCAATTCCCAGCAACCACATGGTGGCTCACAACCATTTGTAATGAGGTCTGGTGCCCTCTTCTGGCCTGCAGGCATACAGACAGAATATTGTATACATAATAAATAAATACTTAAAAATAAAAAATAAAAGCAAGACCTGACAGGGTTTCTCTGTAGCTTTTTGGAGCCTGTCCTGGAACTAGCTCTTATAGACCAGGCTAGCCTTGAACTCAGAGATCCACCTGCCTCTGCCTCCTGAGTGCTGGGATTAAAGGCATGCGCCATCAGCACCTATACATTCTAACCTCTCCTAACCTACTGGAAAGTGTGGGCTATGCACTTATCATCAGTAAGAAAGCATTCACACTGGAAAGGGGATTGATTTCTCTGGCATAAGAATCTGAGGATCACATAAACATAACCAGCTCAACCGCAACCTAACAGGGTTTCCCCACACTGGACCTGGCTGATCTTGTCAGGGCAGGTGATTCAAGTTTAAACTGCTGAATGAAGTAAATAACTGAAGTTATCCTAAGAGCTGTGGTTACCATGTCCAGGGGCTGAGGGCCTAGCTCAGTAGAGTGTATGCTTAGTACATGTGAGGATCCTGGGTTCAATCGCCAGCATCAAGATGAATGGACAAATGAATGAACCATGGTGGCTCATGCCAGAAATTCCCAGACAAGAGACAAAGGCTAGACTGTTGAGTTCCAAGCCAGCCTGGGCTACAGAGGAAGACCCTGCCTCAAAATACTAAAATCTGCACTTTTGCCTACACGGCAGAAGAGGGCACCCGATCTCATCACAGATGGTTGGGAGCTGCCATGTGGTTGCTGGGAACTGAACTCAGGTCCTCTGGAAGAGCAGCCAGTGCTCTTAATCTCTGTGCCATGCCCCCAGCACAAGTTCAAGACTCTTATTCAGTAAAGAAATGCTTAGAAGATGTTGTGTACCATCCTTTTGTTTTCACAATGAGAAAATGAACTGGTATTAGAGAGACTTACCACTGGAGTCCCCGTGCTCCCCCAGGACCCAGCCATGACAGCTTAGTGGGTGAACACCCAGCCGTTCTCCCATCAGGTAACGGAACCGCGCTGAGTCCAGGTTGCAGCCACTCCCGATGACTCGGTTCTTGGGAAAGCCACTAATTTTCCAGGCCACGTAGGTCAAGATGTCCACTACAAAAAGAAAAAAAATTAGATAACTGACTACAGGACATGACTTTGACACGGTTAAGACGGATCAGCACTTTTGTTAGCATCTTTACTATGTAACTCATGTCCAGTTATTCAAAGCACTACTTAAAACACTGCACCAATTAAGATAACATTACTCAGTTACTTCTCCGAGATCACGAGTGAGAAACTTTGCAGCTACATTCAGAGGCATTTCATGTTTTAGGTGAACTACTTTTATAGAAACACAACTCGATGGAAAATTAATGAACGCATTAACGCACACACGTCGCCATGAACCTGAAGGTGTTCAGAGTGTCTGCTTTTGCAGCGGCCTCACCTGGGTTGGAAACAATGAGCAGCTTGCAGTTTGGACTGTACTTGACAACGTTGGGAATGATGAACTTGAAGATGTTCACGTTTCGCTGGACCAGATTGAGTCGACTCTCTCCCTCCTGCTGACGGGCCCCCGCTGTGATGATGACCAGCTTGGAGTTGGCAGTCACGCTATAGTCTAGAGACAAGACCAGAGATGGAGGTCATTTCCGGGAACTTTGACCTACCCAGCAAAAATTTGGTCCGTAAACCTTTGTACACAGCAGATGGAGATCTGTTGATGTTCAGATGTGTTTGGATGTGCTGTTTGTAAGTGTGGCCTCTTAAAGACTGGAAAGGTAATACTGACGCCTTTCTCATATGGCACGTTTAGCCACATTTGATCATAATGGGAAGGAATTCAGGTTATCTCATCCTGTCATCTCCTTATGTCTGTATTTCTTCCTCCCCTGCTCCTCTTGAGGCATGCACTACGTACCTCTGCCTGGCCTTAAAGACATGCACATTTTCTCTTTTCAGCCAGTCGCTAAATTGTTGCTGAGAGTTCAGCAGTCTTGTCTACCCCGCTTTCCTCTCTGCTTTCATTTGCTCCTGCAGGCCCTGTGGCCCGGGGCAGCTGACCCAGAGAGATGCCTATTAGGTAAGAGGTCAAAGACTTTCAACCTTGTGTTCCTGGCTGGTGGCAGCTAAGCGTAAAAAGGTCACATAAAGAACTTCAGCTGCACAGGCCTCTAAGGTGAAGTTCTGAGTCTGTGCTAGCTAGCATGTGATAAGAACATTTAACCAGGTGCAGTAAGGCTGGGTGGGACTGCCAGTCAGCAGCCAGAGCACTTGCCCAGGGCTCCATCCTAGCAACACACACTTGTAACAATGTAGATTCAGAACTCCATACCTATTAATTCAGAGGATTTGAGAGCTAGTGCACCTGTACCCCAAGGCCTGCCCTCTGGCCTTGAAAGACGGAATTGGAGAGGTGGGATTTCAGGCCTAAGAAAGAACTTGAAACTTAAAAGTCTAATACGGACTAAAGGAAGGCGGCCCCACCAACCTTTGCCAGAGACAATTTTCGGTGTTCTAAGGAAAAGGCTGCCGTGCTGAAGATCCATCATCTCTCCCTTCAGTTTGTCTTCCATGACATCAACAAGGGCAAGCTCATCCGCCAAGTCCTAAAAGACAAAAGTTTTAGGTAAATGGGAAAATTATTGAGGGTTTTCAGGACATGCAGTCTCCTGTATTCCAGGCATAGGAGTCTCTGTCAGGATACACTGGAAGTCGAGGCAGGCCATTCAACTCACTGCTTCCCAGACGGCGCCATGCAGCAGACTCTAGTCTCTCTCCTGAAGCCTTCCTACAGAAGGAGCTTTCTGTGGGGGGGCAGCTAGTCACTACTGTCCAGTACCAAGACTTGGGACTAGGCCAGGGCACACAGCTCACAGCGTGGGAGAGACTTTAAGATGGGGGAGGGAGGGGAGACCCTGAACTAATGAAACCTGCAAAGCTAGGCATAGCAATGCACTTTTAAAGCATCACTTGGGAGGCATATGTACAGTCAAATCCTGTCTTCAGGTAGAGAAAAAAACATGGGTGTGTGAATAGGAGGAAACCCCATCCTCAAAAAAAAAAATTTTTTTTAACATTTGGGAAGCAGAAGCAGGAGGATCTGAGTTTGAGCCAACCTGGTCTACAGAATAAGTTTCAGGACAGCTAGGGCTGGAAGCTGCAAAGAGAAGCCCTGTCTCAACCCCTCCCCCCACATGTGTGTGTGTTTTAAGGGCTTTAGTAATACTATAACATTCTTCAAAGCCAGGTGTGAAGTTGCACAGCTATAATCCAAACACCCAGGAAGATGAGACAGGAGGATTGCCTCAAGTTTGAGCATAGCTTGAGCTACATAAGAAGAACATTCACTTTGTCTCTATTTCCCTCCATGGAAAACTGTTGTAAGTCAGGGAATGGTCGGTTTGGATAGAAGTTCAAGGTATCCCACCCAGTAGGATTTTAATTTTTACCATATATACATATAAATTTCAGTTACAAAATTACTTTAGAAGTGGGCATATAGTTCAATTGTTACCTAGCTAGCATGTGGGAGACTCTGGGTTTATTTAATTCTCTGCGCTGAAAAGGTATAATTAAAGGGACTCTTCTTGTTCTTTGGACACGCGAAAAACACTGCAGAGCATTTTAAATAGGCCTGGGTCTGATACCCTCTGATACTGTTACTTTGGATAATCCTTTTTGTGTATCACTATGTTGCAAAATGTTTCACAGGCAGGCTCCTTTGAATGAGCGCCTGAACCTTAAGTTTTATACGGGATGTGACAATGGAGAGGTGCTTCCCCCTATGTATGGGCTTGTGACATGAAGGACCCCCACTTACCTTCATTAGGATACTGATGGCACAAGCCATGCCAACAGCACCAACCCCAACAACCGTAATCTTGTTCTGGGGGGCCTGTTCTTCCTTAAGGAGATTCACAATCAGCTGGTCCTTGAGCGTTGCCATCTTGTTGGACTTTGAAGCTTTTGGGACCTAAGGTGAAAACATTTCGTGTGACTGAGGCCTCTCCAAGGTATAATCACCAAGTGGCAGCCTTACTTTGCATCCTTTGGACTACTTTCTATTAAACGACAAGTGACTAAAAAGGGCAGAAGTGGAAAAAGTGGCCATAATGCCAGGGGGTCTGGTCTGACTCTTATCATGCAGCAGGTCCTCACCTTGAAATGAAAAAATAATGCCGAGGTCTCGGTGTAAGTGTAGCCTCCTGAGGAATTACTCATTTTGATTAGTCACAAAGGGGATAACCTTTCCTCGAACAATATCAGAACTGCCCTCCCACTCTTCTCTCAGCACCCAGAACCCTACAGTAAGTAGGGTGTCAAGTTGCTCCAGGAAGTACCAAAAATCAAGAGCAGAGGGCGCCAATAACGGACACAAGAAGCGACCCTAAGGCAAAGCAACGTGCTGAGTCCTGCGCATGCGCAGGCTTGCGCCGCCGCTGCCGCCACCCCCCCGCCCAGGAACCCACAAGTTTTATGACCAGCCCGTATCCGTAGGACTGACAGCCGGACAAGCCGGTACGCGTGCGCAATTTCGGAACAGGGTAGTAGGATACGTCTAGTGGCTGCTGGCCATGGACGAGACTGCCAAGAAGGCAGTTCGGGGTCAGACTTCGGACCTTATTAAAACCCAAAGCACATTTAAGCATCGTGAGGAGGCCTTGCCGCCAGGGTCAGATTTCAAATGCCAATACCAAGAACCAGGTGCTTTTAACCACCCACCCGCCAAGGCGGGGCCTCGTTACCCAGGATGAGGCCGCTAGGAGAAATTTACAGTTACGCAGGATCTAAGGCCTGGAGCCCCCAGAACCACGAGGGGCACATTTCCCCCAGCAAGCCCTACATCTGTCTTTGAAATTGTTCCAAAACACAAAAGGACCGGTCAAGATCTCTGGGCAGGCAGCCCAGGGCCATCAAGTTGGAATCCGGTCTTCTTACAACCGCTGCTATTTCTAGACAATCTTAAAGGGTTTCTGCAGGCTGAGGGCAGGGAGGGGTAGCTCTTCCTGCAGAGAACCGGCCTCACCCAAACCTCAGTTCCGGGCTTCATTTTGGTAGGGTGCGTCTACTTCCACCTGTGATCCTATCGGTGCGCACCGCTCAGCTACAGGTTTCCTCCTTCTGTTTGGGGTGCAGAGGGCTGTGACTCTTCCTGCTCTATCTCCGTACACAGCTTAGCGCGATCCTTAAGCCCACCAGGAACCTCGTAACATATTGTATTTGGCCCAAAAGCGCCCTATAACTTGCAGAAAGCACCCACTGCACCAAGCCCACGCAAAAGGAAATGCAACCCTCACGGCTTCTCCCAAGTACCCACCCGGACGCGCTGAGGCTTTTTCGGTCCCTATGGACTAGAGCAACCGGACCTCAAGCTACGCACGGGCTCTTAAACCTAGTGGGTCCTTCCCACCCTTCAAGGCCAGTCACCCCCTAGGCTTTCCCCAGCCACCAGGCTCGCCGCCCCAAGCAGGGCGCGGTCGCCTGCTCCATTCCCTAGAGCGCAGGAGCCCACGTGTGCGGGGGCTGTGGACCCTGGACCTCCACCCCGAGTAGGGAGCTCCCGTGCGAGCAGCGTGGGGCTCAACCATACCGGTAGTGCACGATGAGCAGCTTCTGGCGCACAGCAGCGTGGTATGGGTTCGGCGACAGAGGCTCCAGCACGCCGAGCCGCGCGCGGGCGGGGCCTTATATGGAAGCTCAGGGTGACGTCAGGGTGGGAGCCCAGCGGACGTGCGGGAACCCACGTGTACGCTAGGCCGGGGACGGGCGTCCAGCGGGGCGGGCGGGGCCCCGCTGAGACTAGGGCAGCGCGCGCAGCCCCACGGCCCCACGTGTGCAGCGACAAGTCCAGGAACTGCCAAACTCACATGGTCCACAGCCTCAGAACCAGGATCCCAAAATGCATCAATCCCCGCTTGCTTTTCCGTAAAACGTGTGGGACTCAGGGAAACCTTGGTCACTTGCTGTTCCCAGCCCTTTCTGGCATGCAGCAGGCCTCAGTAAACACTGAGGGAAAGCACATGCCATCACTGCATCGGGTCTTTCTCCTGCTACCACACTTACAAGTGCCAGGCCAAGAGGTGTCCCAGCTTCGGAGGGCTTGCGAGTGACTCGGGTCTGTACCCTACCACCCCATCCCACAGGCATTTGTGTTCCAGCCTTACCAAACAGCATCTGCGCCCAAATTTCACACCCCCTCTGGCTTTAAACTTTTTTTCTATAGGCCTGCTTATTACCGGTTCCTATTCCTCGCCCAGCCACTCCTACATTGTGTGTGAATCTTCAGGTCGTCCACCACTGGGACAGGATGTAAAATATAATTTGCAAATGTCCTTAGTGATAGGAAGGACCTCGTGAATTGTGGCTTTCAGCCCTGATTACCAACCTCCTAGGAAGGGAGGTGTTCACTGAAGATGAAGGTCTATTAAAATCTTGAACAGTATTTGAAGGGTTTCTGGTTTCGGGGCGCTGGAGCTGCAGCGGCACTAACTCCCAGAGAGAATGACGCTTAGAAGACCCTACTTGCCCTCTGCCTGTCTTACATCTGGTGCTGTCTGTCCGTTGTGATTATCTTTTATAATAAACAGAGCAGTCTAGGAGTGTGGCCAGGGCCAGGACACTTGCTTTGCACGCACAAAGGCCTGGGTTTGATTCTCAGCAGAGCATAATAGAAATAAAATATTAAAAAGTCACAACAATTGGACCTGGAGAGGTGACTCTGCCATTAAGACCACAAAAGCTTGTAACTCCAGATCCAGGGAATCCGACATCATTTTCTGGCCTTCACAGAGCCTCCCTTCCCTATATACAATAATTAAAATTATTTTTTTTTGAAAGTCAGAACAAGAGAAATGAAATCCAACTTTTAAAATAAACAATAAAGGTGTGTCTATGAGTTTTAAGAGCCAGCCATGTCATTGGTGAGGTGGGGGGGTGTGTTGGGAACACCCCAGTTTAAAGTGGCTGGGCAGAAGAAACACAAGTCAATCTTGTAATTATGGTCTCAGGAGAGGACCTCTTACGAGATTGAGCTGTTAACCTGTGCAGTACAATGCTCCAAGTGGAGCGTAAGCTGAGGATGCCCAGCCCAGGTTCATGTGCTAGGAAATCGCTTTATGTGGAAAACACATGTACACACACGTCTGTCCCCAGGAGTATTCTGGGAGGGATGCTTGTTTTTCTTATAGTCACCTGTATACCCACAGAGTGGAGACTCCATCTTCGCTCCTGCCACACACACACACACACCTTGGCCTAGACACCCTTCAGGGACCCCATTGCAGTTGAGGGGGTAGCGTTCTGCTCCTTTTCTGAGACACAGATGGGCCTTCTTCCTCTCAGCACTGTTCATCAGCATCTCAGGGCCAGCCTCCAGAAAGACCCATAGTTGTGGGGTTCTGGCCTGCAAAGGGAAAATTTACCCCGCTTCCAGAAAACCAGGCCATCTGTTTAGTTGATTCTAGATACTGTTGGATGCCCAGAGACCACAAACAGAGATGAGGGGTGGGGTACAGGTTATTCTGAGGTCACTAGGGACAGGGCAGCTTTCAACAATAACTCAGGTGTCTAGGCCTGTGGGACAATGTCCTTATTCAGTCAAGGATGGGTCCTGTCAGCTTGTTAAATAAGTCCCAGTTGGAAGGAGGAGATTGACAGAAAGCCAAGAGTGGATTGGGTCCAAGAGCCTCGCAAGAAAGACCTGTGAAGGTACCTCAGGCAGGCTCCAGTCCCCTACATCAGGACACCCAGCAACAGCCACTCCAAACATGGCCTTCCTCCTCCAGGTACATCAGCCACTTTCTGACTCCAGGATGAACAAGAATGGCACTTGCAGGGGCCAAAGGTAGGCCTCTCCTTGCTTGCCTTCACTCTGACTCTTTGAAGTAGAGAAGAGCATTCCCATTTTCCAGATGAGGAAACCAAGACTCAGAGAGAGTACTTGTTATTACTTTGGGACACTTTAAGAACTAACCACGCCCACCCCAGCCACTTTGGACCTCCCCCGCAGCCATCTTTTCTCTGGTGTGTGTGTGTGTGTGTGTGTGTCTTTGTTCTCTCTATGTTTGTCTATGTTTTCCTTTAGCTTTATGTATAGCCTTATGTCCATTTACTCTGCCGTACACCGCATCCAGCGGCCTGACTCTGGCGCTCGCCCGGGAACCCTGACTCCCCCGGTCGAATGGCGCTGCCACTTGCAGCTGCTCCGCGAGCTGCCCGGGACATCCCACCATGGTATTATTTTTAAAAAAGAACAAAAGTACTGACTTTTCCAAGCCTGTGCAGTTTCTAAACAATTTCAGCCAGGACTTTAACCTGACACTCACTGACTCTTAGCCTGTCTTTCTCTCTCCAAGGTCTCATGCTCACAAAACCCTGCATAGGACAAGAAACTACCCAGGGGGCTCAAGCCAGTCTTAGGTGCAGGAGCCACCTAGGTGGCCCTGGGTGTCTCTGCCTATCTGCCTGCTTTAGCAGCGACGTTGTCCTTTTCTGCGCTCCTATCTTGGTTCTGATTTTCGGATTGGACAGGACCTTCTGTCACCAGCTTTCCCGAGTCTCCAGATTGGAGGTGGCAGATGGTGGAATTTCTCAGCCCCCACAATCAAGTGACCAAGCCCTCACAATGAATCTGTACGCTCTGCTGTCGTTTCTGCTTGCCTGGAGAAATGTGACCGATACAGTCTACAGTGTAGACCTTCTATGCCACACACCGTGGAACTCATAAAACGGCTCAGGAAACCTGTCACAGAGCAGAACACCTGCCTGAGCCCCGCCAGCTCTTCTTTGGGTACAGTATCTTTAAAGGGAAACTCTACAAAGAAATCCTTTGACTCGGGTACTGTCTGGGCTCAAAGAATGACTGGTACCCAGAATGTACTGTGAGGTTTTTCCTAAGATCGGCTTAGCCAAAGGATGGTGCCCACCCAAACGGTACCGTGTCTCTCTTCCACTAGCGTTCCAGTGGTCTCCAGTGAGTCCTTGAGAGCACTCAATGGCTCCCATTGCCTCCAGGATCAAACTCTAATTCTTGGACCGCACATCAGGTCCTGCATAATGCAGTACCTATAGCCCTCTCTGACCTTATCTTCTACTTTCCTTTGTACTTTCTGTGTACCAGGTTCAGGGCCACTCCCCCATCCCTCAAGTGTATCCCATGCCGCTGCACTCCCTCACGCATGTATTGCGCACCACCACCCCACTCCTCACACACGTCACGCGTGTATCACGCACCACCCCACTCCTCACACATGTCACACATGTATCGCGCACCGCCCCACTCCTCACACCCCTCAAATGTATCATGCACTGTCCCATTTCCAGTCTTCTACCCAGGCAATTCCCTCTACCTGAATACCCTCTCCCTTGTCACTAGGCCTGACTTCCGGAGCCCACATAGTCAGAGACCAAGTACTGTTCCTTGAACTTTGCGTTGACTCTTGTCAGTAGCGCGGTGTTGCCGCATGTCTTTCATCCCAGAACTCGGGAGGCAGAGGCAGGCGGATCTCTGTGAGTTCGAGGTCACCTTGGTCTACAAGAGCTAGTTCCAGGACAGGCATCAAAGCTACACAGGGAAACCCTGTCTCGTGAACAAATTTTCAAAAATCGACTCTCGTGTTTGGGCGTCACCACACTCTGAGAACTAGTGAAAAGGAGCTTTCCTGTTCGTCTCCCTAGCCCTGGGCACAGACAGTTTCTGTTTAACAAGCTTTATTTTGCATTAAAGGCCTGCTATGTAGAGAGGCCACAGTAAGTGCCAGGGCTACAAAATGAGGAAGACAGTCAGCTGTGGTGCATACTCATAGTTCCCAGTTACTCATGAAGAACAGAAGAGGCTGGGAAGATAGTTTAGGCTCATGAGTTCGAGACCAACCTGTACACCATAGCAAGCTCTGCCTTCTAAGACCGAGATAGAGGGACTGACAACATCCTCCTCAGTAGTAAAAATCCGAGAGGGAAGCCAGTCTTGGCGGTTTACATACCTGTGATCCCAGCACTCGGGAGGCAGAGGCAGGAGGATCAGAAATTCAAGGCTAGCCTTGGCTACGTAGGAGACTTGGTCTCTAAAAACAAGCAAACAAAGGCAAGCAAAGCAGAATAGTAAGTAAGAATAGTAAGTATCAGTCCCCGAGGAGAAAGCACCAGCTGAGGTCACCCGAACGACAAAACCAGGGCAGGCTTTCTGAAGAGGCAGCTTCAGAGCTGGGTGAGAAAAAGATTTCAACGGTGTGGATCAAGTGTTGAGAAAGTGGAGAAAAAGGGATGAAGCAATGCTGAGACCACAAGCTACAAGGCGTGTTTGGTTGGGATGTCTTTAGCCTCTGGTGTCAGGCTAGGACAACTGATTTGGGTTTTGGTGGTCGGAAGTCACTGAAGTTTCTAGAGAATGGGAAAGACAGGGTGAAAGCAAGGTGTCTGAAAGGCCAAGGCTGTCGGAAAGAGGGTGCCTTGTTTGGTGACCATACACAGCACACAAGCAGAGGACACGTGAGGACACAGAGGAGGCCTGTAGCCACATCTGTCCAGGACCCTCCACACCCCACAGCCCCTCTGAACACTCACTGCCAGTCTGTCTGTTTTCACCTTGTCCATGACGGCAAGGCCGATGGCTTTCCTGAGATGCAGGGCCCAAGACGCAGAGAACCTCATGTGCCTGTGTCCTTGACCTGCTGGGGAGTGCTGTGTGCGTGCCAAAGTAGAGGTTCCTCTCTCTCTCTCTCTCT